GTATAAAAGACACCTGTCCACAACCTCAAACAGTCACACTCTAAACTCCACCATGGCCGAAACTAGAGAGCTGTCAAAAGAACACCCTAAACAAAATTATAGACCTGCACCAGGCTGGGAAGTCTGAATCTGCAATAGGTAAACAGCTTGGTGTGAAGAAATCAACTGTGGGATCAATTATTAGAAAATGGAAAACATACAAGACCACTGATAATCTTCCTCGATCTGGGGCTCCACGCAAGATCTCACCCCGTGGGGTCAAAATGATCACAAGAACGGTGAGTAAAATTCCCAGAACCACACGGGGGGACCTAGTGAATGACCTGCAGAGAGCTGGGACCAAAGTAACAAAGGCTACAATCAGTAACACACTACGCCGCTAGGGACTCAAATCCTGCAGTGCCAGGCATGTCCCCCTGCTTAAGCCAGTACATGTCAAGGCCCGTCTCAAGTTTGCTAGAGAGCATTTGGATGATCCAGACGATGACTGGGAGAATATCATATGGTCAGATGAAACCAAAATAGAACTTTTTGGTAAAAACTCTACTCGTCGTGTTTGGAGGAGAGAGAATGCTGAGTTGCATCCAAAGAACACCATACCTACAGTGAAGCATGGGGGTGGAAACATCATGCTTTGGGTCTGTTTTTCTGCTAAGGGACCAGGACGACTGATCCGTGTGAAGGAAAGAATGAATGGGGCCATGTATCGTCAAATTTTGAGTGAAAACCTCCCTCCATCAGCAAGGGCATTGAAGATGAAACGTGGCTGGGTCTTCCAGCATGACAATGATCCCAAACACACCGCCCGGGTAACGAAGGAGTGGCTTCGTAAGAAGCATTTCAAGGTCCTGGAGTGGCCTAGCCAGTCTCCAGATCTCAATCCCATAGAAAATCTTTGGAGGGAGTTGAAAGTCCGTGTTGCCCAGCGACAGCCCCAGAACATCACTGCTCTAGAGGAGATCTGCATGGAGGAATGGGCCAAAATACCAGCAACAGTGTGTGAAAACCTTGTGAAGACTTACAGAAAACGTTTCATCTCTGTCATTGCCAACAAAGGGTATATAACAAAGTATTGAGATGAACTTTTGTTATTGACCAAATACTTATTTTCCACCATATTTTGCAAATAAATTCTTTAAAAATCAGACAATGTTATTTTCTGGATTTTTTTTTCTCATTTTGTCTCTCATAGTTGAGGTATAACTATGATGAAAATTACCGGCTTCTCTCATCTTTTTGAGTGGGAGAACTTGCACTATTGGTGGCTGACTAAATACTTTTTTGCCCCACTGTATATCAACCTCTATTCACGTTCTTGGGCCAGTGAACCAGTGGGCTGGTCTGTATGTAAGTTTTGAGGCGTGACAAAAGTACAGGCCAGAACCAAAAAAGGCAACATCACTGAGATTAGAATTGTGAGATCTGCAGAGAAAGGAGGTGTCGATGTACGTCTTCTCTGTACGTCCATTTCTCCCACTGAACTATTGTTATGGGATCTATGACAATGTAAACTCGGTTTTGCATTCTATGACCCCTTTAAATCCTGAGCCATTACTCTGTCTGAGTAAGATTAAATTCTTTTAACCTGCTATATGTTTTATAGTCATTCAATACATATATATTAGAGCAGGAGTCTGCAACCTGTGGCTCCAGAGCCACATGGGTTTCTTTGGACCCTTTAGAGTGGCTCTTAGTAGTTTCAAAAATATATAATGTACTATAATAAATACCAGTTCTAAAAGCTTTTGTGGTTTTTATTACATGAAAAGGAATGATATAAAAGAACCAGAAATGTTTTTTTTTACATAAATTGTTGGTTGTTTAAGATGGCAACTAATTTCCTATGCAAGATAATAAAAAATAGGCTGTTATAGTCAGATTATATTTATACTCAAACAACTTTTACTTGTCTGGACACAAGGCAAAATGGCTCATTGGATATGAAAGTTTGCAGACCCCTGCATTAGAGAGTGTTATTGTAATTGTCTCGAGTCGGGGAGAGAAAGCTTAAAGGTGTAAGCACTAAGACTTTCTTTACAGCTAAAAAAATAAAACAAACAAAATATTGCAACACTTGAAACTGCTTAACCAGGGAATTAAAACACTGCTCAACAGATGTGCCCTGTGCGGATATCAAATTCTTTGCAATATTTTTATTTTATTTTATATACTCTAATAATCCCAGAGGGAACTTACTTCTCTGCAATTAACCCATCCCCTTGGGGAGCAGTGAGCTGCCATTGTGCGGCGCCCGGGGAGCATTGTGGGGTTAAGGGTCTTGCTCAGGGACCCAGAGTGGCAGTCTGTGGGAGTGGGGCTCGAACTCACAAACTCAGGATTCAAAGCGCTATGCCCTAACCACTAGGCCGCCACTCCCCTAAATATAGAACAAATATAGAAAAAATAGAACAGTAAGTGGCAACAATAGCTCCTTTAGTTGCTGTGTTGAGGATAGGCAAAATCAAACAGAAAGACAGGTTAAATACACATGATTTGTTTCATCTCTATAGTAAGAACATTAGGTTATATGTGAAGTTTTTGTTTTATAACCTCACTTTGACTCCTTTAAAACATCTTCTAGCCACTTTAGATAATAACCTTAGTTTTCATGTCCTTCGACAATTACACTACTCTAGAGGAATTTGGTTTACCCAAGTGTGCAGCTGCAATAGTTAGTTGAGCTTGAAGATGTTTAAACTGGAGCAGCTTTTTCAGCTTTTTCCTTTTTTGTCTCCACTTTATCATTCCACAATAATTTAAATCTGTTTGCACAGGAAGAGCATGCAATCTCCAGACTAGAAGGCAAGGCCAGAATGCTAAACTTAGTAAGTTATTCTAAGCCAAAATTTTGTAGGGGTGTATGTATCTATTTATGCATTAAAACCTCTGCCCCTGTAGTGGTTGGAGAAAATCCTCAATGAATTCAAAGCTCTGCTTCTAGTACACATTTAGAAATAGAATTACTAAGTACAGGTGCTGGTCATAAAATTAGAATATCATGAAAAAGTAGATTGATTTCAGTAATTCCATTTAAAAAGTGAAACTTGTATATTATATTCATACATTACATACAAACTCATATATTTCAGATGTTTATTTTGTTTAATTTTGATGATTACAAATGACAACAAATGAAAATCTCAAATTCATCATATCAGAAAATTAGAATATTACTGAAGACCAATAAAAACAAAGGATTTATAGAAATGTTGGCCAACTGAAAAGTATGAACATGAAAAGTATGAGCATGTACAGCACTCAGTATTTAGTTGGGCCTCCTTTGGCCTGTATTACTGCAGCAATGCGGCGTGGCATGGAGTCGATCAGTCTGTGGCACTGCTCAGGTGTTATGATAGCCCAGGTTGCTCTAATAGTGGCTTTTAGCTCTTCTGAATTGTTGGGTCTGGTGTATTGCATCTTCTTCTTCACAATACCCCATAGATTTTCTATGGGGTTAAGGTCAGGAGAGTTTGCTGGCCAATTAAGAACAGGGATTCCATGGTCCTTCAACCAGGTACTGGTAGCTTTGGCACTGTGTGCAGGTGCCAAGTCCTGTTGGAAAATGAAATCTGCATCTCCAAAAAGTTGGTCAGCTGCAGGAAGCATGAAGTGCTCTAAAACTTCCTGGTATGTGGCTGCGTTGACCCTGGACCTCAGAAAACACAATGGACCAACACCAGCAGATGACATGGCACCCCAAACCATCACTGACTGTGGAAACTTTACACTGGACTTCAAGCAACGTGGATGAAGTGCCTCTCTTCTTTTCCTCCAGACTCTGGGACCTTGATTTCCAAAGGAAATGCAAAATTTACTTTCATCAGAGAACATGACTTTGGACCACTCACCAGCAGTCCAGTCCTGTTTCTCTTTAGCCCAGGCAAGACGCTTCTGACGCTGTCTGTGGTTCAAGAGTGGCTTGACACAAGGAATGCGACAGCAGAAACCCATGTCTTTCATACGTCTGTGTGTGGTGGTTCTTGAAGCACTCACTCCAGCTGCAGTCCACTCTTTGTGAATCTCCCCCACATTTTTGAATGGGTTTTGTTTCACAATCCTCTCCAGGGTGTGGTTATCTCTCTTGCTTGTACACTTTTTTCGACCACATCTTTTCCTTCCCTTCGCCTCTCTATTAATGTGCTTGGACACTGAGCTCTGTGAACAGCCAGCCTCTTTAGCGATGACCTTTTGTGTCTTGCCCTCCTTGTGCAAGGTGTCGATGGTCGTCTTTTGGACAACTGTCAAGTCAGCAGTCTTCCCCATGATTGTGTAGCCTATAGAACTAGACTGAAAGACCATTTAAAGGCTTTTGCAGGTGGTTTGAGTTAATTAGCTGATTAGAGTGTGGCACCAGGGGCCATCAATTTTGAACCTTTTCACAATATTCTAATTTTCTGATATGATGAATTTAAGATTTTCATTTGTTGTCATTTGTAATCATCAAAATTAAACAAAATAAACATCTGAAATATATGAGTTTGTATGTAATGTATGAATATAATATAGAAGTTTCACTTTTTAAATGGAATTACTGAAATCAATCTACTTTTTCATATATTCTAATTTTATGACCAGCACCTGTAAGTTTCTTTGAAAAAAAAAAAAAAGGAACTGCTAATGGGTCATTAAAACCTCCAAATAATGAAATCATTGCTCATCAGGACTGCATGTTTCCCTGTACAGTTTCTACAAGTGGAAACAGAATGCTATTATCCTATTTTCTTGTTAAATAACTGAAAATGCAGTTTGAATTAATGTGCTATCATCTGGATTATTATTTGTCCTCATAAGTCTTATGAAATCTATTTGGTCCTTAAGGTAAGGCATGCAGCAGAGAGGGAAAAGGGATTTTAATGCCTTAAATCAAACAAACTGGGCTCGACATCCTGAGTGAGGACATGAGAAGAGAGAAACAGGGGAGAGGTGGGATGAGGAAAAAAGGAGAACATGAGAGAGGAAGAGAGTTGAGCGGGAGAATGACTGAGGATAAACAAACAGACGGTGGGAGGGAAGGATGGTAAGAGACAGAAAAAGGAGAGGTAGTGAAAGTGAGTGAGAGATGGGCAGGGAAGTATAAAGAGAGGGAGGGAGTAATCTACAAGAGGCAGCCATAGAGGAAGAGGTGACAGAGTAGATTATCCTCTCTTCCCTGCCAGTCTCACCATGTTCATGCTGCAGACACTGACTGTTGTCTCTTTGGCTGTCATCTTCCTCACATCTGTAGAAGGTAGGACACCGCTATTCTTTAAATATCTGCGTGTTTTGTGTCTGGCATGGATTGCATGCACCCTGCAGGTGGACAGGGTGGAAACTAAGCGATGGCGAACACAAAAAAAGAAAGAGGAGAGAAAAAGGCATGGCAGCAGCAAGGATTTAGGCATGGATGTAAACAGAAGCAGGAGAAGACAGGATGAGCATCTGAAAATTATACACATGCAGAGAGATATGCTAGCTTCTTTTTGAAAGAATAAAGCAATGGAAGTGCCGTCATTCTGCATCTTCTACGGTATAACTAAGCATCTCTTTTCTTTCTTTTCAGCTCACATTATCCCTACTGTTTCAAATCTCACTTTATTTTGTTTACACATTGCACAATGGAACAAATGCCAAGAACACACTCCCCCTCTACATATCTCACCTCCGCTCATCTCTCACACTATATTTGGTAAAGCACTGTATTTCCTTACAGTGTGGAAGAAGGATTTCTTTATATTGTATATATATATATATATATATATATATATATATATATATATATATATATATATATACACTCACCGGCCACTTTATTAGGTACCCCATGCTAGTACCGGGTTGGACCCCCTTTTGCCTTCAGAACTACCTCAATTCTTCGTGGCATAGATTCAACAAGGTTCTGGAAGCATTCCTCAGGGAGTTTGGTCCATATTGACATGATGGCATCACACAGTTGCCGCAGATTTGTCGGCTGCACATCCATGATGCGAATCTCCCGTTCCACCACATCACAAAGATGCTCTAGTGGATTGAGATCTGGTGACTGTGGAGGCCATTTGAGTACACTGAACTCATTGTCATGTTCAAGAAACCAGTCTGAGATGATTCCAGCTTTATGACATGGTGCATTATCCTGCTGAAAGTAGCCATCAGAAGTTGGGTACATTGTGGTCATAAAGGGATGGACATGGTCAGCAACAATACTCAGGTAGGCTGTGGCGTTGCAACGATGCTCAATTGGTACCAAGGGGCCCAAAGAGTGCCAAGAAAATATTCCCCACACCATGACACCACCACCACCAGCTTTAACCGTTGATACAAGGCAGGATGGATCCATGCTTTCATGTTGTAGACGCCAAATTCTGACCCTACCTTCCAAATGTCGCAGCAGAAATCGAGACTCATCAGACCAGGCAACGTTTTTCCAATCTTCTATTGTCCAATTTCGATGAGCTTGTGCAAATTGTAGCCTCAGTTTCCTGTTCTTAGCTGAAAGGAGTGGCACCCAGTGTGGTCTTCTGCTGCTGTAGCCCATCTGCCTCAAAGTTCGACGTACTGTGCGTTCAGAGATGCTCTTCTGCTCACCTCGGTTGTAACGGGTGGTTATTTGAGTCACTGTTGCCCTTCTATCAGCTCGAACCAGTCTGGCCATTCTCCTCTGACCTCTGGCATCAACAAGGCATTTCCGCCCACAGAACTGCCGCTCACTGGATGTTTTTTCTTTTTCGGACCATTCTCTGTAAACCCTAGAGATGGTTGTGCGTGAAAATCCCAGTAGATCAGCAGTTTCTGAAATACTCAGACCAGCCCTTCTGGCACCAACAATCATGCCACGTTCAAAGTCACTCAAATCACCTTTCTTCCCCATACTGATGCTCGGTTTGAACTGCAGGAGATTGTCTTGACCATGTCTACATGCCTAAATGCACTGAGTTGCCGCCATGTGACTGGCTGCTTAGAAATTAAGTGTTAACGAGCAGTTGGACAGGTGTACCTAATAAAGTGGCCGGTGAGTGTATATATATATATATATATATGAAGCTGTCATTTTAATTAATGTTTCCTATTTGGAAAAAATGCATAATCTTTATGAAGCGATCATTTTAATTATTCCTGGTCACAAACAAACTTTTCGAATGCATTTCCTTTTTGGTCTTATGACGCAGTGTATAGTCTAATCTGAGGTGTTTTTAACTGTTGTCCAGGTAATGGTGTGCAGATGCAGAGGGATGTCCAGTGTTGCATGCTGTACTCCCAGGGCAAGGTGCGTACCAAAGATGTGCTGCGTTTTGAGGTGCAGACGGAGGGACCCGACTGCAGAATACAAGCCATCATGCAAGTATTTTAGCTATCCACTCCTGGAGCTCAAGAGTAGAGAGCAATTTGAAGGCACGGAAAAAAATGCCTCTCATTAGCGTAGGGGCAGGGCTGCACGGGCCAAGCGGCATTGTCATCTTTCCAGGTCAAATTGTTATGGCATTGCTTCTCTCTGCAATTCCCAGGGACGTAAAAGTGGAAATATGTTTGAATAACAAGCTGTCTGAACATACCTTTCAGGCCAGCTTAACCCTGCAGCATTCAGTCAGTCAGAACAGCAGGGTTTTGTTAAGTAAACTACTCTATGATCTCTGATGTTTCTAGGAGTTCTCTGAAATCTAATGTATTAATAAAGTTTACTTTTGCATAAGATCCAGTTTATACAAACACTGTAGTCTTTCCATTGACTAAATACCATTATGTGCTTAAAGGTTTTCCCTACCCTTTATCTTGTAGAACCACAAATTTTAATGCACATCATTGAGACTTTAAGTGACAGACCTATATAAAGTGATGCATAGGAAAGTCTTCCTTTGTTTCAAGAGCTCAGCAGTAATTACTGGGCCACTACAGAGATCCACAGCTCAGGTGACAGAATCTGTCAAAAAGTCAGCTGTTATGGTGCATTCAATTTATGTCTGAAATCTGGAAATGTTGCCATCAATTCATTGCAACACAGCCATAACAGAGTTTTGCATTCTAGCTGGATGCTACTTGAATGAGCAGTTCTAAGATATTCTTACTTTTACTGTTTTTATGCATGGGTTTTCTATTTATGTGATCTTTATGCCCTGTTCATATAAGGACAGGATTACATGTATCCGTCCATATTGTGTCCACAGTGTATATCCACATGGATCCAGCATTTTTGGAGACCATAAAGAATCACTTTTGAAAATGGATCCATGATTGGAAAAACTTTAAAACATTACATTCCTTTGTATGTCCAAGGGGAATCTTTTCATCTACAGTGATGTGACTGGCTAGCTCAGGTGGCAAGTCACCCATCTTGCAAAAAGGGGTTTGTATCCCTATTCCTTAGGCAAGACCCTTCACGCTAATGCCTGCTTTGGAGAGTGGCGGCCTAGTGGTTAGGGCGTTGCGCTTGGAATCCTGAGTTCAAGACCCACTCCCACGTACTGCCACTCTGGGTCCCTGAGCAAGACCCTTAACCCCACACTGCTCCCTGTGCACTGCACAATGGCAGCCCACTGTTTCCCAAGTGGTTGGGTTAAATGCAGAGAGTTAATTTCGTTGCTCTGTACTTGTGACAGTGTAATGACAATAAAAACACTGGAAAAATTATGTTCTACAGTAGGTCCATCTCTCTGTGCTGCCATTTTACCGAGTTCCTCGCATGAGCTATTTTTGCATGCCCGGTGTTTTTGTCAATTGTTTTTTAGTGGCAACTCCACAAAATGGCCCTGTTTATTTACCTGTTTATTCATGTAGACTAGACCTTAGTCAGTTATAAACAAGATGTTTCATTACTCAAAAAACCAAGTAGACCAGAGTTTTTGCCTATATCATTATAATAATATTGACCGTAGTGGCCAGTTCAAACAATGAAGGAAATTGTAAAGTGGAAGGCTATTACATCTGCAACTGTCACTCCAGCACAATAGTTCAAAGGTCAACAAGACACATGACTAATCATGCACTCAACCAATCTGGGCTTTTAAGAAAGAGTGGTAAGACAAAAAGCTGGCATTATATGACAACATAAGAAAAAAATCCATGCAAGGGAACAACTTGAGCATGTGGACATTGACACCCTTGTCATACGAAACAAAAATTAAATATTTTGGCTGTCATGCAAAATCTGTGGTTAAAATGATAATAACAACAATAATAAAAACAAACAAATGAGGCACACAAATCATCTTTATTATGTGAAATGGTAGTAGTTGCATCATGCTGTGGACTGGCTTTTCATCAGCAGGGACAGGGATCCTTGTCTGAGTTAATAGAAATACAGATGACAATGAATACTTCGCAGTACTGGAAGAAATCATTTTACAGGCTGAAAAATCTTGAGATGTTGATGGAAACCCGCCAACATGTCAAAAAACCCTAAACATACAGTCATCCAAACCAATAGTTCAGCTATGGTGAAATGTGGTTCTATCAGGAGAGAAGAAGATGGCACAACTAAGAATTATTTAAATAAAAAGTAAAAAAAAAATAACAATAAAGTTACACTTTGTGTTGACATGTCACAACAATAAATCATACTGTGATTTGCAGATTTAAAGCAACAAAAATCACCAAAGTGGTATGAGTATTTTTAGAATCTACCAACTGATGTTTTTTAGTAGTTTGCTCTTTTGATTGTTGAATGTTTAAATGCATAAGCCGAGTGTTTGCTTAACCTGAGTGTGAGATTATGTATTTTCCTTTTCTAGTCTCTACACAAAGAAGGCAGTGAAATGTGCGGACCCCAGAGATCGGAAGGTGAAGAGGTTGTTAAGGAAGCTTTTGCAGAGACAAACACTCAAGTACCATCAATCCACGTGGCTGCGTCCTCATGACAACCTGCCTGTCATGTCAGAGGTCAGCTTCTAACCACCTGGCAGCTTTTAACCACTTCTTCCACAAGAAACTGGTTATATTTCTAGTGTAGGAGCACCCAGCTGACACTTGGAATTAAAGGGAAGGGCAACTCAAGTATAATGAGGTCTGCATTCCACTTAGATGAAGTTCTGCTGGTGTGCAGTTGAATCCAGGCCTCCTTAATATACTCAGGTTACTATCTCAAGGCAAAATCTGTTCAGTGTAAGAGCACAATAAGGGATCTGTAAAAGTTCTTACAATTCTACATTTGCATGCCAACTTGGCTTCAGCCAGGATGAGATTCTCACTGGATAAAAAAAAAAAAAAACAGGATTCTACTGTGTTGCAGTTTAATATGCAAGTTTAAAACAAAACATACAGAATTAGTGCAAATATTTGATAGATATTTAATTGTTCTTCTGAAAAAAGATTTATTTATTCCTAGTGATTATACCCTAATAACATTTGTCGTGATCTCAATATATAGAAAATGGGCATTTTACCTCCAAAATGATTTGTAAGTCACTCTATAAATGACTTTAAATGCAATAAAAATATATTTTAAAGTAAAAGTCCGGTCAGCGAGGAATGATCAATGGATCTATACCTAAAACTAATAAGTTTGCAGTGAATAAAGCATTAATCAGTTAAAAATATAAATAATTTTTGTCGCGATCACTGAGTCCGGGATGAGCCATTTTTGCCCAAATATAGTAACACCTCACTCCTGACATCTGCAGGTAGTGACGTTACGGTGCGGTAAGCCTAGCGCCATTCTCCCCGCTTTACAAGAAAAATCAATGGGAACTACTAGAAACATCTGCAATCAACAACAATTATTTTGAGAGTACTACACCAATGAAAATCCCGAGAGCTATACTGACAATGCCCACGTCTATGGCAGTTGGATGTTGTAATACATCACGTAAAAGTGAAAAAAAAAAGCTATTTCACCTTTCCGATTCATCATCCACCATGAGTTCATTGAGTTGGATTGCCAACTTGAAGAGGGAGGATTTGCCATCGAACTTCTGGCCAGAGAAAAAACAAGTGATATGTAGCCAACATTTCGAAGAAGAATGTTTTTTTCAAGATGACTTGGATAATAGGGCGTTGTGACAAACACAATACAGCACTGGGACTTGATCAACAGCCAGTGTTCTTTGACAAATATGGATGTCTCCGGTAAAGCACATTCAAATGAAATTACTTTTAATTAAAAACAGTTATCATTTATTGAACAGTATGTAATAATTTCATATCTAAAGTACTTTCAGAAGTTTGAATTCTGAATATGACCAGACTTTTCCTTTAATGTTTTTATGAAGAAACGCTGCTCATAGCTTGTCAGTCATACTTTTAAAGCAACAGAACCTTAAAAAGAGTTGGTGGGATTCTTCAGTTTCCACACCATGAAAGTTTCTGTTTATCCCAATTGGAAATGTTTCTACACTGCAGATTTTTTTTTTTTTTTTCATATACGTGAGCAGAAAAGTTAGCATCTTCTTTCAGCAAGCTATCTGGTGTGAGCAGTAATAGGTTGAGAACATAAAACCATGGTGAACCAACAAAAGATTCTGGATTCATTGGGGGTCATCTTCAAATCATTAAAATCTTTGAAAATGCATGGTGATATTAATCATTTCTAAACTTATTTTTTGCAATTATTCAGACACGTACAGGAAACATAAGAAGTAAAACTTCATCTCATTATGATACTCGTTACTCGTTACTAACAATAACAATAGAATTATTTACTGTAAATGCTTAATAATTTGCATCTTAGGTTCTTCTGACTACTATTCCCAAAGCCCACCAGGGTCTCCTTGTATGGCACACAGTGCCCTGAAAGATTGATTAGGGCTGTGTCCAAACGTCCTCCCTAACCCCTAAATCCCTCAATTACTATATAGAGCAGCGACTATATACTGGCCTTTACAGGGAACGCAGTTAAAGGTATTGTGGAAGATTTTTTAAAAGACCCACCCTCTCCACCTGAAAAAATATGTGTGTGCAAGAGGCTGGTAGCCATGCTGGTGGAGTATGCCTTCCATTTTGAATAAATCCCCAACAGTGTCACCAGCAAATCAACACCCACGCCATTACACCTCCTCTTCCATGCTTTACGGTGGGAACCAGGCATGTAATGTCCATCCGTTCGCCTTATCTGTGTCGCACAAAGACACAATGTTTGGAACCAAAGATCTCAAATTTGGACTCATCAGACCAAAGCACGTATTTCCTCTGGTCTAATGTCCATTCCTTGTGATCTTTAGCCCAAGCAAGTCTTTTCTGCTTTGTTGCCTGTCCTTAGCAGATGTTTCCTACCAGCTATTTTACCATGAAGGCCTGATTCACACAGTCTCATCTTAACAGTTGTTCTAGAGATGTGTCTGCTGCTAGAACTCTGTATGGCATTGACCTGCTCTCTAATCTGAGCTGCTGTTAACCTGCTATATCTGAGGCTGGTGACTCAGATGATCTTATCCTTCACAGCAGAGGTGACTCTTGGTCTTCCATTCCTGGGGCGGCCCTCATGTAAGCCAGTTTCTTTGTAGCGCTTGATGGTTTGAGAATTGCACGAGGGGACACTTTTAAAGTTTTGCCAATTTTTTGGACTGATTGACCTTCGTTTTTTAAAGTAATGATGACAGGGGACACCTGTGAAGTGAAAACCATTTCAGGTGACTACCTCTTTAAGCTCATCAAGAGAATGCCAAGAGTGTGCGAAGCAGTAATCAAAGCAAAAGGTGGCTACTTTGCAGAACCTAGAATATAAGACATATTTTCAGTTGTTGCTCACTTTTTTGGGAAGTATATAATTCCACATGTGTTAATTCATAGTTTTGACACCTTCAGTGTGAATCTTAGATTTTCAAAGTCATGAAAATAAAGAAAACTCTTTGAATGAGAAGGTGTGTCCAACCTTTTGGTCTGTACTGTATATCTGCCTCCTCTGAGGCCTTTCTTTTCTTCTCATACACTTCGTAGACACTTTTTCTCTTATGATCGTCTGCCATATTGAAATTACTGTGGTGAAAAAGGTGAGCTTCAATGACTGTCTGAAACCGTAGCTCATCACACATATACACCTGAAAGTGGTAGAGACAGCCTATGGCGACAGCAGGCCGCTGTAACAGCAAGTTCCATAATGCTTTGCGAGGAGAGTTCTCCGCGCAAAGTATTCCAGTATATATATCTGCTCGTCTAATGACCATGAATGATCACTACTTGTGATGTGCATTGTGGGAAATTTCGAGTCCAGTACTTTTTCATCCACTAGACATTTGGACACTCGTTTAAAATGCCTATATAGTTCCCTATATAGTGATTAGGGCGGACATTCGGACACAGCCTTGATGTCAAGAGAACAGTTTAAATTACAACAGGTGATCAGATCAGATCATTCCTGTAAAGACTGCACAATGTCAGCACAAATCTTGGGCTTTCGTTCTGAGATATTGTCATTTGCAAAAGCCTACCAACTCCAGCTTCTTTAAAACTGAACTGTTGGTCTTGCAATCCAAACCAAATGTTAACCACTATATCTGCATCTTAGCTGGGTCCTACCTCTGTAGCATGGTCTGATTAAATATTGCTGGAAAGATCCACTCAATGCTTCCAGAAAAAGGGAGTCCCTTAAAGATCCAGCTCTCTTAAGGACCCATGCTATCCTTTTTTTTCTGTCGACTGTGAACTGCGAAGAAATGAACTAGTTGTCTTATTTTTATGCATTTTATTGTGATTTTTAAAAATGCTGTATTGTTACATCCTTATATGTAAAGTGCTTCAAATAAACACATCTGGACAAAAACCAAATCATAATATTTAACTAAATTCATCACTGTTCAATTCAAAAAGTACTCTATCAATCCAAAAAAGGAAAGTAAATGTTGCAGTAACTCATAGGCAGTTTTTGACAAGTTGTTATAGTTGTAGATTACTGTAGGCAGGAAAGATCTTCTGTAGAGTTTTGTCTTGCACCGCATCTGGAGAACCTTCTTATTGAAGACACTCTGTTCTTGTTTATCAAACCTCTGAAGAGGAGGGTTGCTCACTGTTGTCCATAATGTTCTTCCCTTTATGAAGAATTCTTCTTTTCGAAATCATCTCCAGATGTTCTAGAGGAGTTCCTAGAACAGAGCTGACACTCTTTATTAACTTTTTGAACTTTTTCCCCAGCAGATGATGAAGGAAGAAATCACACTGTCCATGAAAGACTTTTAGAAGATAAGCAAAATCTTCCTGCAAGCCATAAAGGACCTAAGCTTCCTTAAGATGTAGTCAACTCTGTCCCTTCTTGTAGGCGACTTAACAGTTGCATCTTCAGTTGAGATTGTTGACCATGGTATTTATACTCCTAAAGCACTATTATTTATTTTCCAATGGAGTTAATAGGATTCACTTTGTTCCTGTTTCTCTTCTAAAATCTACAACAATCTCTCTTGTTTTGTTGACATTCAGCAATTGGTAGCTTGTTTCCAGACCATGCTACAAACTTGCTCACTCTACTCAGTTTCTTGTCTATCTTTGATGCACTCAATGACTGCAGAGTCATCTGAGAGAGAGTATAAGGACACACCTTATGTCAAAAATGATTGATGATGACCTATGACCTTATGTCAAAAATGATTGATGATGACCTATGACCTTATGTCAAAAATGATTGATGATGACCTATGACCTTATGTCAAAAATGATAACATATGATGTATATGACATGACCTTTTGACTTTTGAATTATGAACTCTATGACCCGCACCTGATCAAAAGAATTTCTTATAACCCTTTTATGACCCGTAAATTTCTGCACAGTCACGCATCATCACATTTTTGCTTCATCAATCAAATTCTTGAATATAAACATTGTTTTCTTCCCAATCAAAGACAGTCCCCACACAAGGAAATTTCCCTCCCACCACCCATCCCATCAGACACCCCCATACACACATACACAAGAACTATGAACTCTATGACCCGCACCTGAACAAAGGATTTTC